GCCACCCCCACACTCCTCACCCCCAAACCCTAATTCAGGAGAACGGGCAGCAGTAGGGGTGGGGCACCGTCAGAAGCACGGGGGACAGCGAGCAGCTCAGGGACAGAGAGGAACGGGCCGCCCACGGGCCTGGCACAGCCCGACGAACCGCGCGCAGGCGGCCCGAGCCGCGCGCGGGCCTGGCGCAGCCCGTACGGGCCGCGCGCGGGCCTGGCGCAGCCCATACGGGCCGCGCGCGGACCTGGCGCAGCCCGTACGGGCCGCGCGCGGGCCGGGCGCAGCCCGTACGGGCCGCGCTCGGGGCTGGCGCAGCCCGCGCTGGCCAGGACGGGCGACGGGGGACGACGGGCTGGTCCCCGTCGCCCGTCGAAGCGCCCCCCGGGGGCGACGCGCGGACCGACGGGGCAGAAGGCCGCCGCGCGCCTCGGGGCGCACGGCGAGCAGAGAACCGCCGCACGCCCCGGGGCGCACGGCGGGCAGAAAACCGCCGCGCGAATCGGGGCGCACGGCGGGCAGAAAACCGCCGCACGCTCCGAGCGCGCGGCGGGATGAAAAATCCGTCGCACGCCACGGGGCGTGCGACACAGAGAGTGGCAGTAGCAGCGGAAGCAGTGAGGAGGTGAGCCCACCCACAGGATCGACCCAAGGGGATCGACCTGCTCTGATAGCATGTGAAAAATAGTAGGTAGAGTTAGGAGCCATAGCTAGGTAAGTCCTAGCTAGGCAAGAGAAGTTTAGGCAAAAGAAGAAGAGGTTCACTAGCAGCAATGAGGATACATATAGCAAACCCTAGATGGGTTGTACTCGCTATAGAGCACCCCACTACAGGCTAGAGAATAACATTCTGACAGTGGAAGGCGACAAAGCAGAGTCCCACCATCGACCGTGCTGCGCTCGACAATGTGGCATCGTTCCCGACGGATCCTGCGAATGATGACGACGATGATGACGAAATGACTAAGGCACCAGCCCCTCTGCTCGTGCCTACGCCGATTTCTCGACCGCAGCTGCTTACTGACAACCCTCCAGTGCAACTCTCGCCGTTGCCAGAGACTCCTCCTGCAGAAGACACTTCTCCTGCAGATGACGCTCCTTCCGCGGAGCAGGTTCGTTCTGCAGAAGACATTCGCTCTGACTCTTCTTTGACAGGGGAGCAGCTGTCGACTACCTCTTCTTCGACGTTCTTTCCTTCGACTGAAAAATTGGTGCCATTGTTGACACTCCTTGGCGAAGAGGGGAGCAAATTGCCGATGAATGTCGTCGCCAATGAGCGTCGAGAAGTCGAACACCCTGCAGACGAAAAATCCGCAGAAGAGCGATCCGCAGAAGACCAATCGGCAGAAGATCGATCTGCAGACGAGCTGCCTGTAGAAGAAAATGTCGAAGAAGAGATGCCTGAGTTAGAAGAAATTGCCGCAGAAGAGCAATCTGCAGAAGAAGGACCGGCAGACGAAAATTTTCAGGTTTCTCGCTACGGTCGAAAGATTCAGAAGCCGATCTGATTCCGCGAAGCACTGACGATGTTTACGACGACTTCGCTTGACGACATGCATGAGGATGTAGTGCAGAAAGCTCTCGACTCTGCTGACGAGTGCGTCGTCGACACGGATCATCGTTGGGACATTTCGACCATGACGGTCGCAGAAGCTTTGCAGAGCTGGAAAGGTGAAGCGGTCAAAGCTGCAATGGATGCAGAGATGCAGACTCTCTACGATCAAGAGACTTGGGAGCTGGTTCCTCGACCGCCTGGGGTTAATGTCATGAAGAATTGATGGGTTTTGACGACGAAGTACAACCCAGACGATATGGTCGACCGAGAGAAGGGTCGACTTGTCGTCAAAGGATACACGCAGACCCCTGACGACTTCGACGCTATATCTGCCCCCGTCGGAAGCTACGGAACTGCTCGGATGCATCTGTCGAACGCAGCTGAAGAAAATTTGGAGTTGATGCAACTCGACATGACAAATGCATTTCTGAATGCGAAACTTGACCGTCCTCTCTTCATGGAGCAGCCCAAGTTCTACAACGACGGGACGGGTCGAGTCTGCATGCTGAAGAAAAGCCTTTATGGACTGAAGCAGAGTCTGATATTGTGGTACGAGGCCCTCGACGAAGTGCTGGAAGACGCAGGATGGTCGAAGAGTCAAGTCGACGAAGCTTTCTACTTCCACGAGGACGAGAACCACGACATGTGCTGGGTGCTCGTCTACGTCGACGATCTGCTCGCCGCGAGCCACAGCAAGGAGCATCTCGCAGAGCTGAAGGCGCTGCTCGAAAACGCCTTCAAATTGCGGGAGATCAGCCCTGTCAACAAGTACCTGGGACTGGAGCTGATCAGAGACAGGGAAGCGGGGAAGATCTGGCTGCATCAGAGAGGCTACGTCGACAGGGTGCAGAGGCGTTTTCTGCCAGAAGGACCTCCTCAGCGAGTTCCGAAGACGCCAATTTTGGTCGACGCCTTCAAGGTGCTGACATTTGACGACGAGAAGTTGCAGGCGCGCACAGAAGAAGAGTATCGGCAGAGGGTCGGCTCTCTGCAGTTCGCTGCCTGCACTACTCGCCCCGACATCTCCTTCGCCTGCAGCAAACTTGCGTCTGGTCAAACGGTTCGAAGCGACCAGCATTGGAGGGAGCTCGACCGCTGCATTGCGTACCTTGTTGGGACGCGCGATGTTGCTCTCGAGTTCGGCGGAGGAAATGGAGATATGCGTCTCGTCGGCTTCGCAGATGCAGACGATGCAGGAGACAAGCAGAATCGCAGCAGCACGGGTGGCTACATTTTCACTCTTGATGGAGCTGCTATTTCATGGGCAAGTCAGAGGATCAGGTGCATCACTCTCTCTTCTACGGAGTCGGAATACATCGCTGCAGTGGAGGCTGGAAAGGAAGCCCGAAAGCTCCGTTATCTGATGGCAGAATTTCGCATGCTCGACGAGACGTCACCAACGTCGACAATCAATCTGCGATTTCTGTGTCTGAAGGAATGGGCCTAAAGGGAAAGCTGAAATACATGGAGCGGCGCTACATGTGGCTGCAGAGCATGGTGAAACGACGCAAGCTGAAGCTGCAGTACATCTCGACGACTGAGCAGCCGGCAGAGTACTTGACGAAAGCACTACATTTCCCTGCGTTCAACAAGTGCTTTGCAAAAGTTGGTCAAGTAAGGCTTTCGACGAAGGGGAGCTGCGCAGAGAGTCCTCTTGACGAGGAATGGGTGCCATGACCTTTTCATGGCTGGTGCGGTGATGGTGTGTGCGAATTGCAGACTTGGCAAAGCGCAGCTAAGTAGTAGTTATCTAAACGTTCTTGTGAGAACGTTCTCTTGCTAGGTTCAGTGGTTGGGTAGTTCTTTACCCCTTGTATTCTATCTTTCATTCTATTCTAGTGAATTTTCTGTGTGTGCCAAATCTATGCCTTTCTCTTTTTTTTGGCCAATTTTCTCCTTAGTGAAAAACAAAGTTTGCGTGGCTGCAGAGAAGCATTTCGTAGAGCTCCAACTCCCGTTAGAGCAGAAATCTCCGCAATAACGGCGTTGTCTCCGCGCCAGCTTCTTATTGGCGCCGGTGTTCCTGCCGTCATGGACGGCTTGGTGGACGCGGCACAATGTGTGCGAATATGAAGGGGTTCGACACTCTTGTGAGGAGATGGTTACCTCTCAAACGCATCAATGTCACCATCTCACTCACATTGGTGCAATGTCAGTGATGACGGGTGCTGTTTCCAGCGTCCCAATTGTCAAGCTGTAATTGGCCCGTGAGAGCAATGTGGTTGTTTGTGAGTATTCGCGTTGTTTCATATAGTCGGGTGATACATTAATGTGAGAACAAAGTGGTAACAACAACACCTAAGAAACAAATGTGGCAACCCAGTACTGTTTCGGTAAAAGCAAACCAGTAAAAATCTGTCTTTTTTATAAGCCCACACTGACCGAGGCGAAATGCACTAAAATCAACGAAATGTCCAAATCACTTATAAGCCCAATGCACAAGCCAACCTTGGGGGACTCAACGAGCAACAGGTGTACTACAGTAGGTACAGTAGAGGTACTATTGTGAGGAGGTCATTCACTGCCGGCCCTTGCAGCAAAGGCAAGTCAGGTTCAAAGCTCCGTGTACGCTACGTCAAGTAAGAAGTGATGACAAGGCAAATATTTCTCTGCGGCGCGGCGCAGCTGCTTTGATCGTGACAAAGCAGCCAAGATTGGGGTGAATAACTCAAAACGCCCGTCACGTGTTTAGGGTTTGACCCCATAACCTCGATTGCGTATGCGGGTCTTCCAAGACCAGGTGACATCGCCGGTAGTAAGCGCTCGTCAGGTGATCACCTGACGATACTATCGTGGCTAGGGGACAACCGCCATCACCTCCACTGGCAGCGCCGGAGGTGACTCGAGTCACTCCGAATCGCCGCCCTCGGGGCCACGCCAGGCAACGGGATCTGGACGTCAACGCGGGCTAGATTCGAGAGCAAACTTTGTGACAGCGCGGCGTGTCATGCCCACAACTACTCCTGGCTGTAAGAGGGCATCGTGCAGCGGCGAAGGCGATTACAGTCGGACGACTTCGGCGAACATTTTTGGGCACCTGTTTGCGAATCTCGCTACTGTTGCGTGCGAGCGCAATCCCATCGCTAGCTTCATTGGCTAGCTTTCACCATGCCCCCCCCCCCCCCCCCCAGTCCTCCCCAGCCCCCCATCCCAATCCCATCGCCAGTCCGATCGCCAGGTGAGCTCCCTCACCTCCTGCGTCCTGTACGCCGCCAGCTGAGCCTTCACCAGTACTTATACAGCATGATGAGGTGTCGCGTCATCCCAGAAGCTGAGTCCGTGGTAAGTGTGTTAGAGTCCCTTCACCAGTACTTGTGCTAGAGTCTGTTCTGTGCCACTGGGTGCTCTGTCCCTGTGAGCCTCACCTTTGCACTGACTGCTGTCACGGGCTCGAACCAGACTGCTTCTCATAGCAAACCGCTTCCATTACTCTCAATCTTTGGCGGAGTATATGATGGTGTCACGCGCCAACATTGCTAGAGCTCGCCGGCTGTTGCCAGTGGTCGTTGCCGTCTTCCTGACGGTTTCCGTCAAGGCCGCACCCGTCAATTCCACAGTTGAATCCGCCGTGAATGCTGGTGAGGAAAGTAGGCCACCACGCTCCACCGCTCCCTTTTCATTCGACTCAAGAGCCATCTCGTCTTCTTCTTGGCGATTCACGTCAATCCACCCACCCACCGTGAACAATGGTGCAAGACAGCCAGTGAAGCTGTAGCGCTCTCTTGTTCTCTCCTTAATAGCCATGACCGTGACACCCTGGAGTGGAGAAAGGCTAACCCAAATTTTAGGGACCCCAGGGGCCCTCCTTTTCCCCTTCCTTCCCCGTCCTTACCCTTCCGTTCCCTACTTTCTCCTTCCCATCCCCCCTCCTTTCCCTTCCTTTCCCTACTTTCTCCTTCCCCTTCTCCTTCCTCCCCCTTCCGTGAACCGTGATGATTACTCCCGGCAGAGATCAACGGCCAGAATGCTACGAGCCGGCATCTGGTGGGCAGGGTGGGAGAGTTCGAAGGCGAGCTTAACTATTACCTGCCAGTGCATTTGAGGTCGGTCAACGTACTTGCCAGAGCGGTTTCATTCAATTGGTTATTACTTGGAACACCCACACACACACGCACACACCCACACGCACACGCCCACACACGCACACACCCACACCCTCGTGACGATATGACCTTGGGTAGCTTCAAAAGTACTCGCTCTCTTCATCCATATCTTTCCTCCCCCTCCCGCCCAACAACGCCAGGAATCACCCGGAGCGAGTCGGCCTTGTCTTTCACCCGCTGGGGTGCCCTCTAGACGTCTCTCGCCTGTCCAACGTGTTTATGGGCTTCTTCGAACATCTCCCTTACCGCAAGCCCTGGCCCCCCAGCTTCTCTGGCACTCCCATCAAGCTTGGAAGTGACAGTTCATGTGTCGATTCAGGTGTCAATTCAAGTGGCGGTTCAAGTGACGGTTTAAGTGGCAGTTTCAATGGCAGTTCAGAGAGCAGTTTACGTGGCAATCCAAGAAATGGTACTGGAAACGTTACAAGTGCGCCAGCGGACAGTGGTTCAGCGGACAGTGGTTCAGCGGACAGTGGTTCAGCGGACAGTGCTTCAGCGGACAGTGCTTCAGCGGGCAGGGTCTCAGAGGAGATTGTCTCAGAGGAGAGTGTCTCAGGCGAGTCAGAGTGGGTGAAGAAGCTCGGCTGCCACGGCCCTCCCTGCCCCGCCTTCGGCTCATGCACCGCCCGCTTCCCCAACGTGCAGGCCTGCTGGAACCCGCACCTCGTGGACGAACCCGATACTGAAATTGCCCCTCCTATAAACTGCCCCCTTAAACAGAATAGCACCGCATTGGAGAAGTGGAGGAAAGGAACAGGGAGGGCGCCGTTCGATGAGACGTGCTCGAACAGAAAGGATTTCAATGCGCACGGGGCCACTGCGCTGCAGGTGATGCGGCTGGAGGACGTGTTTGTGACTGACAGCGGGGTGAATCTCAACCGCTCACACGTGTTCGTCAGGAACGGGTGCTGGCGCTTCCCTGAAATGGTGAGAGCTGGCTGTGTGGAGGGAGGGGTGTGAGTGAGTGAGAAAGGATGTTGCGGGGAGAGGGTTGCGTGGAGGGAGGGATGTGAGTGAGTGAGAACGGATGTGGAGGGGAGGGGGTTGCGTGGAGGGAGGTTTTGCATTAAGGGAGGTTTGAATGGAGGGAGGGTTGTGTGGTTGCGATGGGTGCCTGTATGATCACACATAGTGTGCCCGTGCAAATGGCACATGGCCAGCCAATTGCAATGTTCAATCTGACCTGCCTACCAGCAAGCATAGTGGCGCATTTATTATTCTGCCACTCGTGAAGTGAATTCCATCTCATCAGGTTAAGTATGAGGCGAACCACTTGGCCCGCGATATACCTGCTGATGTGCGAGTCAACTAAAAATACACCACGTTATGCAATCCTTTCCCTTGGCTATCACCACCAGGCCAAGTATGAGGCGAACCACATGGTGCACGAGGTGCCAGCGGTGTTCAACTGGGCGCACCAACCGGGCAACAACTTCTACCACTTCCTCATTGAGCTCGTTCCGCTCTTTCTCGTCTCCGCGCCCCTCATGGCATCTACGCTGCAGCATGTGCCTGTGCTCGTGAAGCATAAGCAGGTGGGGTTCGAGTCATCATGTAGTGTTGTCTGCATGCCTTACAGTTTCGACAGATTTCCAATCTTGACCCGAGCACCTGCATGCATTCCAGGAGCGGTGTGGCGGGGTTTGATTCAAGCACCTGCATTCGAGAAAGTTCTCCACATGTCCGCGCTGCAACACCTGCCCCTGCTCGCTACGGCTGGCTAGGCGGGGCTGGCTCGGCGGGGCTGGCTCGGCGGGGCTGGCTCGGCGGGGCTGGCTAGGGCTGGCTTGACCATGAGCCTGCATTCCTTACAGCAGCCATTGTCGCTGCTGCATCCCTTGCTGCTCCCTGCTGCGCCCCTTGCTGCGCCCCTTTCTGCTCCCTGCTGCGCCCCTTGCTGCGCCCCTTGCTGCGCCCCTTGCTGCGCCCCTTGCTGCGCCCCTTGCTGCTCCATGCTGCGCCCCTTGCTGCGCCCCTTGCTGCTCCCAGCTGCACCCCTTGCTGCTCCCTGCTGTGCTGTGAGGTGGAGTCAAATGTTGTTGACCCACCATCTGCCATCTTATTCCCGTTCCTCTCACCAAAGGTGCGTTGGTACGAGCAGCTGGGTGCTCCACTCATCGGCATCCAGGCAGATCAGATTTGTTTTGAGGCGCGTTGAAAAATCATTCCCGTGCCATTCCCTTGCCTCTCGTGCCACCCGTGTCCGTCCATGCCTCTCCTCCCTGCAGGTGCGTTGGTACGAGCAGCTGGGCGCTCCCCTCATCGGCATCCCAACAGATCAGATTCGCCTGCTGCCCACATTCGGCAACGACCTATTTCACGCCGATGTGGTGTACCAGGTAAGCCAAAAAATGGCATGGCGTGGCATGGCATGGCATGTAGTTGTTGTGTCCTATGTGGACATGGACGCGTCCAGCGTCCCATACGCTAGCGTATATACGCTGGACGCTCTAATGTCCAGCCCTGGACGCTTGGGTCGGGCAGGCTACAAACTTTTTCGGGCAGGGGGGAAAAAAGCGGGGGGAAAAGGAGACGAATTTCATCAGTGTAACGCAAGTATAGGCGAGCTAGCTGTTAGGAATCATCTGGTGGTGGATGGGATAGTGGTCCCTAATCGTCGACTAACTCTGGCTAGGAAATGTCCCTGCCAGAGTTTGTCGATCTACTTACGATAGGTTGGCTTTGCTAGAGTAGGAGGGGTGAAATGTGGTAGAAATAGAAATTGCATGGACAATTTGTTGGATTTGGTTCTGTTTTGGCGAATTGAACCAGATCCGCTTCGAAATTGCATTTGCGCTGAAGTCGCAAATCTCAATTTTGTCGCATGATTTTTTTCGTCGGGCTGCCCAAAATTTTTTGGGGCGAGCGTCCAGCGTCCAACGAGCGTCCAGCGTACGGACGCTAGCGTATATACGCTGGACGCTCGCCGTCCAGAGCGTATATGTCCACATAGGTTGTGTCCCAGGTACAGCATGCATGCATGGCAGACAGAGGTGGTCAGGTAGACTTCATCCTTACATGACATGCCCTTCCCTGCCCTGCCCTGCCCTTCCCTGCCCTGCCCTGCCCTGCCCTGCCAGGTTTGCCATTCCATGCCATGCCCTGCCATGCTTGCCAGGCCATGCCATGCTATGCCATGCCATCCCATTTCATGCCATGCGTCCATGCCATGCCATCTCATCATCCCATGCCGTCCCATTCCATGCCATGCTATGCCATCTCACATCACAACTTCCGACCGTCCCATCTCCTCTCTCACTCTTCCACCACTCCCCCCCACTCCCCTTCACTCCGGCCCACTCCCCCACCTCCCCACCATCCCACCTCCCCAACCCCCCAGCCCATATACCAAGACTGCGACCATCCCAGCAGACCCCTCTGGCGGTTGCTGCGCCGGCGCCATCTGCTGCACCCCACAGGCCTGCCTCTCTTCAACCCCGACTGGACCTACCGCAGCCACCGCCCGCTCTCCCTTTCTGAAGCGCGCTCCTTCCCCTCCGACTGGGTGGTGGTGCTGGCAAAGCGCCCGGAAGGGCAGAAACGTTCGATGGTGAATTTCCGAGAGGTGGAGGAGGAGGTGGTGCGGCGGTTTGGGCGAGAGAGAGTGGTTGTGTTTAACGGGTCGCTGCCGATTCTGCAAGGTGGGTTGAATAGAGGGTCCACTCCTGCATTCGTTCTCTGCCTTGTTGTGTGTTGGAGCATTGCAGTCGTGCATGTGTGATTTTGATAGGTTCCTCTTGTCCCTCGTCTTCTGTTCCGTGTTCTGGGCTTCTACTCAATTTAAACCCACGTCGCCATGTATGATACGTCGACCTTCGTGCTAAAATTCTTCGTGCCTAGAAATCTCCGTGCCTAGAATCCTCCGTGCCTAGAATCCTTTGTGCCTAGAATCCTCCGTGCCTAGAATCCTCCGTGCCTAGAATCCTCCGTGCCTAGAACCATCCATGCCTAGAATCTTCCGTGCCTAGAATCTTTTGTGCCTAGAATCTCCCGTGCCTAGAATCCTCCGTGCCTAGGATCTTCCGTGCCTAGAATCCTCCGTTCCTAGAATCCTCCGTGCCTAGAGTTCTCCGTGCCTAGAATTCTCCGTGCCTAGAATCCTCCGTGCCTAGAATCCTTTGTGCCTAGAATCTCCCGTGCCTAGAATCCTCCGTGCCTAGGATCTTCCGTGCCTAGGATCTTCCGTGCCTAGAATCCTCCGTTCCTAGAATCCTCCGTGCCTAGAATCCTCCGTGGCTAGAATCCTCGGTGCCTAGAATCCTCCGTGCCTAAAATCCTACATGCCTAAGCCACAGCTCTTCCTTCCCGACACTCTCTCCCAGCTTGTGAGCTCTTCCTTTGAATGACGTTTTGCATAGCGAGCTGATGACTGCACTCACCAACATAACGAGATCACCAACATGACCTGCATCCCTAACTCCCGCCTTTCTTTGTGCCTCCCGCTCTCCCTGTGCACTCCTGTGACGATCACGATTCTACTTAGCAGCCCACGGAGCGGCCCTCACCAACCTGACTTTCATTCATAACACCTGTCCTCTTTCCCTTCCAACCCCCACCCCGCTTTCCAACCCCCCCTCCTCACCCTCCTCAGCCCGTGCACTCCTGTCACGAGCACGCTTCTACATAGCAGCCCACGGAGCGGCCCTCACCAACATGATCTTCATGCCGGAACAAAGCTCGGTGCTCGAGATTCGCCCAGAGGGCTGCGATATTACTGTCTTCAACGCACTCGCCTCTGCCTGCTCCCTGCGTTACCACCTCCTGTTGACCAAGGGGGATTGGAGTACCCCCATTGTGGCGAATGTGACAAGCGTTTCTCAGGTGCTTGATTCTGTCCTGGCACGAATGCTGAAGGAGGATGGTGGAGATGTGGGGTTGCGGTGACCAGGTGCTGTAGAAGCAAGCACTAGACACGACTCTTATGTTTATGCCTTTTGTTCTGGTGGTTGTGTTGTACTGTAGTGTACAGTGGACTGGGGGTTATGTGAGTTACAGGTCGAGGTAGGTTGGCTTGGCTCTTTCCAAGGGGGTTGTTGCCTTTGGGGCGCACTGGTGTAGTTGGAAAATCAATTTTTGTTCTCACAGTGAACCAGCACAGGAATTCACAGACTTCCGGTGCAACACCAATAACAAATACTAATCTGTAAAAGATCCTAAGGGCTTTGTTCAGCCCAACACTTCCTAATCAGAAGCCAAGCACGAGGTAGAGATATTGTGGATGAGAGAGAGCTTGGCTTATGGCTGTGGATGAGAAGAGGACAGATGAGGGGCACATAAGTACGGGGTTACAAAGAGCAGAGCTGTCAAAACATATTTGTATGTTCTTAGTTCTGCTAGGCTACAGTGAGATGCTCAGTATAGAGTACAACCCCAGTTAGGGTTTCATACGTGTATCTCCCTGTTGCTAGTCATTCCTCATTCCTGCACAAATATTTCTGACATGGTTTCAGAGCAGGTTACCTGTTGGGCCCACCGATAGTTCCGCCCGTCCGTGCCCGAAGCGCCCTTGCGCTGTCCTGCCCTAGCGCGCTGCCTGCTGCACGCGCGCTACCTGCCCGCACGCGCGCTGCCTACCCGAGCGAGCTGCCTGCCCGCTCGCGCGCTGCCTGCCTGCGAGCTCCGCCTGCCCGCGAGCAGCCCCTGCCCCGCGCGCCCCTGCTGCCCGCGAGCAGCTCCTGCCTCGCGCGCCCCTGCTGCCCGCAAGCAGCCCCTGCCCCGCGCATCCCTGCTGCCCGTGCGCAGCCCCTGCCCCAGAGCGCCCTGCTGCCTAGCGCGCCAGCACGCCCCGCAGCCCAACACGCCAGCGCGCCCCGCAGCCCACTGCGCCAGCGCGCCCTGCTGCCCAGCGCGCTACCGCGCCCCCCTGCCTAGCCCGCCAGCGCGCCCCGCAGCCCAACGCGCCAGCGCGCCCTGCTGCCCAGCGCGCCCTATTAGCCTGCTAACCCGAGCGCGCTCTACTGCCTACACACCCTACTTCTGTTGTTGCAGCCACAGCACCTACCGCTACTGCTACAGCTGCAGCTACAGCAGTCGCGTCTGATGCCCTTGCGCCACTGCTACTGACTGTCATGGCCACTATCACAGTCGTAGCAGCGTCTGGCGGTAGACAACAGCAGCCGCGTCCTCCGGATACTCTACCGCCGCAACAGCTTCGTGAGTGGGTTATTCAGCGAGGTCGCTCTGGTCCTGGAGCTTGGGATTATTTGCGTGCGGCCAGTACTGGACAGCGGCGGCAGTCTTGTCGCTAGGAGACTCTCTCGCCACAGCAGCTTCGTGAGTGGGTTATTTAGCGAGGCCATCCTGGTGGTGGAAGATATGTTCCTGGAGGTACTCGACAGCAGCGGCAGCAGAGTTAGCCGAAGACCCCCTCGCCGCAGCAGCCTCGGGAGTGGTTTTCTCGGCGACGCGTCTCTAGTAGTGTCGGTGCTGCGGCTCTAGGTGCTACGCTCTAGGTGCTAGTGCGTCTGCTGCCACAGGTGCTAATGAGTCCGCTGCCTCAGCTGACGCCTTGCACACTTGCACACTTGACTCTGGAGCGTCTCGTTGCTTCTTTCGTGATTGCACCACAGTCACACCACTTGCTGCACCGGTCCCAGTCTCACTGGCGGACCCCTCTGGGGGCCCCGTCATTGCACGAGCCTTCACTGTCCTCCCGTGTCTGGCAGTCCCCTCCGGCTCTCTTTCAGGCCTCCACCTCCCCTCGTTCTCGACGAACTTGGTGAGCAACGCAGTCCTTCAGGATGTTTGGGTTGATACCTTTATCCCTGGAGGGCAGCGTGTGGCGATCTGTACGTGCTCCCGGACTGGCCGTCACCTTGCTACGTTCACTCGGCAGCCTGGGTCCAGTCTGTACACCCTGGCCATTGCGTGTGCACAGTTGTCTGCGTCAGGTCAGGTGGCTGCGTCGAGTCAGGTCTCTGCGTTTGGTCAGTTCGCTGCGTCGTGCTCGTGTCCCGTACTCTCCCACCAGAATCTTCTCTGGCACCACCGACTTGGTCACCCCTCTCTGTCGCGTCTCCGCATCATGCACTCCCGTCTCCTTGTCTCTAGCCTTCCCAGGTCCCTGCCCCCCCTACCGCGCTCGCCTGCCCCGCCGTGCCTTCCCTGCGTCGAGGGGCGGCAGCGCGCCGCTCCTCACTCCTCCTCGTTTCCTCCGACCACTGCTCCTCTGCAGACTCTCCACATGGACGTGTGGGGCCCAGCCCATGTCTGTGGGACGAACAAGGAGCGCTACTTCCTGCTGGTCGTTGACGACTACACGCGCTACACCACGGTCTTCCCCTTGCGCAGCAAGACGGACGCCCGCGGTGTTTTGATCCCCTGGATCCGTGCTACTCGTCGCCAGCTGCGCGAGAGGTTTCGGCGAGACCTTCCGATCCTGCGTCTGCACTCTGACAGGGGCGGTGAGTTCTCTTCCAGCCTCCTTGCGGACTTCTGTTGAGACGAGGGCATCCGCCAGTCGTTCACGCTTCTGGCCTCTCCGCAGCAGAATGGGATTGCTGAGCGTTGCATTGGCTTGATCATGGAGGTTGCTCGTACCTCCATGATCCATGCGGCTGCTCCCCATTTTCTGTGGCGGTTTGCGGTCCGATACGCCGCGCATCAGATCAACCTCTGGCCCCGTGTCTCTTTGCCAGAGACCTCGCCCACACTTCGTTGGACGGGAAAGGTTGGCGATGCGTCGGCGTTTCAGGTCTGGGGCGCGCTCTCTCTTGTTCGCGATACCACCGCGAACAAGCTCTCTCCTCGCACTCTCCGCTGCGTCTTCCTGGGCTTCCCCACTGACGCCCCGCCGTGGCAGTTTTACTACCCTCGCACGCGTCGAATCCTGTCCTCCCAGGACGTCACCTTTGACGAGTTTGTCTGTTTCTACAGGCTCCACGTGCACGCGCCCCACCCGGTCCCCCTAGCGCCTCTCTTCCTGGTACCAGTTTCCCCCCCGGTAGACCCCCACCCCCCACAGGGTCCTGCTCCCTCAGGTGTGTCTCAGGTAGACCCACCCCCCTTGGTTAAGCCTCTGGAGATCTCTTCTGAATCCTCTGGCCCAGCTAAGGGGGGTGACCCAGCTGCTTGGTTTTCCGCCTCGACCGTCTTCGCCGCCTCTGCAGCCTGTAGCTGTGGACACTGGTGCTGCTGGGGGTGGTGACACTGGGAGTGAGGGTTCTGGAGGTGCTGAGACTGGGGGTGCTGGTCCTGGGGGTGCTGAGACTGGGTGTGAGGGTTCTGGGGGTGCTCACTCTGGGGGTGCTGACTCTGGGGGTGCTGCGAGTCCTAGTGGTGGTGGGGCCGTGGGTGCTCCTATTGCAGGTCCTGGCGCTGGACAGCAGCAGCCGCCTAGTTGACTCGAGACGCCCTCACCGCAGCAGCTTCGTGAGTGGGTCGTTCGGCGAGGCCGCTCGGGTGCTGGAGCTTGGAGTTTCCTAGACGCTGGAGCTGCTAGTGCTGGAAGTACTACTGGAGGTGCTGCAGGTACTGGTGTTGCTGGTGCTGGAGGCGCTGGAGCTGGAGGTACTGGAGGTGCTGGAGCTGCTGGTACTGGAGGTGCTCGTACTATAGGTGCTGGAGCTGCCGGAGCTAGTGGTGCTATTGGTGCTGGAGGTGCTGGAGTTGCTGCTTGTGCTGGAGGCGCTGGAGCTGGAGG